TTAGAACTGTCAGAACAAAGACAACTGTAACACAACCTCATTTATAACAATGATCACTGCTGTTGTTACAAACAATCATAATAATAATAATGTTGTTGTAGTTTTTGTAGTTGTAGTTGTAGAAAAACCTCAACAACACAGATGAAAAATGTTTAGAACTGTCAGAACAAAGACAACTGTAACACAACCTCATTTATAACAATGATCACTGCTGTTGTTACAAACAATCATAATAATAATAATGTTGTTGTAGTTTTTGTAGTTGTAGTTGTAGAAAAACCTCAACAACACAGATGAAAAATGTTTAGAACTGTCAGAACAAAGACAACTGTAACACAACCTCATTTATAACAATGATCACTGCTGTTGTTACAAACAATCATAATAATAATAATGTTGTTGTAGTTTTTGTAGTTGTAGTTGTAGAAAAACCTCAACAACACAGATGAAAAATGTTTAGAACTGTCAGAACAAAGACAACTGTAACACAACCTCATTTATAACAATGATCACTGCTGTTGTTACAAACAATCATAATAATAATAATGTTGTTGTAGTTTTTGTAGTTGTAGTTGTAGAAAAACCTCAACAACACAGATGAAAAATGTTTAGAACTGTCAGAACAAAGACAACTGTAACACAACCTCATTTATAACAATGATCACTGCTGTTGTTACAAACAATCATAATAATAATAATGTTGTTGTAGTTTTTGTAGTTGTAGTTGTAGAAAAACCTCAACAACACAGATGAAAAATGTTTAGAACTGTCAGAACAAAGACAACTGTAACACAACCTCATTTATAACAATGATCACTGCTGTTGTTACAAACAATCATAATAATAATAATGTTGTTGTAGTTTTTGTAGTTGTAGTTGTAGAAAAACCTCAACAACACAGATGAAAAATGTTTAGAACTGTCAGAACAAAGACAACTGTAACACAACCTCATTTATAACAATGATCACTGCTGTTGTTACAAACAATCATAATAATAATAATGTTGTTGTAGTTTTTGTAGTTGTAGTTGTAGAAAAACCTCAACAACACAGATGAAAAATGTTTAGAACTGTCAGAACAAAGACAACTGTAACACAACCTCATTTATAACAATGATCACTGCTGTTGTTACAAACAATCATAATAATAATAATGTTGTTGTAGTTTTTGTAGTTGTAGTTGTAGAAAAACCTCAACAACACAGATGAAAAATGTTTAGAACTGTCAGAACAAAGACAACTGTAAAACAACCTCATTCATAACAATAATCACTGCTGCTGTTACAAACAATCACAATAATCATAATAATAATGTTGTTGTTGCTGTTGTTGTAGTTGTTGTTGTAGAAAAACCTCAACAACACAGAAGAAAAATGTTTAGAACTGTCAGAACAAAGACAACTGTAAAACAACCTCATTTATAACAATGATCACTGCTGTTGTTACGAACAATCACAATAAGCATAATGTTGTTGTTGCTGTAGTTGTTGTTGTTGCTGTTGTGGTGGTTGTTGTTGTTGTTGTGGTTGTTGTTGCTGTTGTAGTTGTTGAGGTTGTTGTGGTTGTTGTTGTTGTTGTGGTTGTTGTTGCTGTTGCTGTTGCTGTTGTTGCTGTTGCTGTTGTTGTGGTTGTTGTTTCTGTTGTTGCTGTTAAGGTGAGCAGAAACGAGGCCTCGTGTGATTGGATGAAAGTTTATGGTGAAAACGTTGACGTCTGATTCTGTTTGATTCTGTTTCAAACAACAAAATACATCAAGTACAGAAAGACGTGAATATACAGTGTACTGCAGTACTGCTAAAGTATTTGAAGTAGTTGGTCCAGTGTTGGGGACCCCGGGGTAGGGCTGTGGCTCAGCGGGTCCTGGGGTTGACCTATGTAACCAGTGCTAGAACAGTTGTAGTGAGGTGGACCACCAGCCCCGCCCTGGTGGACATTGGTGGAGCTACAAGAACAGTGAAGTTGGTTATTTTTTCCTGTGATTTTGGAAGGGGGGTGGAGGGGGGGGGTGCATCTGTCTGACTGACTGACTGACTGACTGTCTGACTGACTGTCTGACTGACTGTCTGACTGTCTGTCTGACTGACTGTCTGACTGTATGACTGTCTGTCTGTCTGACTGACTGTCTGTCTGTCTGTCTGTCTGACTGACTGTCTGTCTGACTGACTGTCTGTCTGACTGACTGTCTGTCTGTCTGACTGTCTGTCTGTCTGACTGTCTGACTGTCTGACTGTCTGTCTGACTGTCTGTCTGACTGACTGACTGTCTGACTGTCTGACTGTCTGACTGTCTGTCTGTCTGTCTGTCTGACTGACTGTCTGTCTGACTGACTGACTGGCTGACTGTCTGACTGTCTGTCTGACTGACTGTCTGACTGTATGACTGTCTGTCTGTCTGACTGACTGTCTGTCTGACTGACTGTCTGTCTGTCTGACTGACTGTCTGACTGACTGACTGACTGACTGTCTGTCTGACTGACTGTCTGACTGACTGACTGTCTGACTGACTGTTCCTGTTAGAACAGCTGGTTATGAGGTGGAACCTTGACTAACAGATTCTTAATGCAACATCTCGTATCTTTAGTCAGAACTGTTAATGTGGGAGCAGGTCAAAGGTCACACATCTGGACTGGAGCAGGTGATGATATGGACGTCAATCAGGGTGGACAAAAAGTTCTGTCCAAAGAGCTAAAAGTTAACTTTATATTTCTATATAACAGCAGCAGCAGCAGTAACAGCAGCGGCAGCAGTGATGGTGGTGGAGAAGTGGAGAAGTGTTAGACCACATTTTATAAATAACACTTTCTTAGGAGTTCAAACACACACACACACACACACACACTGCATAAATGACTTATTTATGACTTCACTGTCTGGGATACTTTGTTGACATTTACCTTCCTGACACAGACTGACCACAAGAGGCAGCAGTGGACCAGCAGATCCCTCTGAACTAAAATCTCTGGCTCAGTGTTTCCTTCCCTTCAGTTCCAGGTTCTACCAGCCTTGAGGTCCAGTTGACCTCTGATCCTGATCCTCCTGGTTCCGTCCGTCTCTGATGAGTCTTGGTGGAGACCGTGTGTGATTTTCAGCCGTCTGCAGATCATTAGCGGCTGCTTCTCACTAGCGCCTCCTGCTCTGGTGTTTGGTCAGAGGTTAATTGTTGTGGCCAATCACCACAGGCGCTGCCGTCTCCATGGCAGCCAGCAGCGGTGTTCTTGTTGCAGGCGGAGGTTGACGGACTGCAGAACAGTCTGTTCCAGGGTTCTGTTGGTGTGGAACCAGCAGAGAACATCAACGTTCCGTCCGTTTGGTCGGTGATGTTCTGCTGACTCAGTTTGGGTTCCAGCCACTGCTTAATCTCAGGATAATCTAATCTGAGACCATCGTTAGCTTCTTGGTGGTTTATTGGCTAACTGTTAGCGGTCTTGGTCTGTCGGTTTCTGTAACTTGTGATTGTTGTTGACTTTGGACCAAACATTTGGTCCAGGTCACCTTTTTAAAGCTTTATTATTCAATTACAATTTGAAAAAGTAACCTGAGCTGTAACGACGACGACGACGACAACGACGACAACAACGACAACGACAACGACGACAACAACAACAACAACGTCGACGACGTCGACGACGTCGACGACGTCGACAACAACGACGACGACAACGACAACGACGACAACGACGACAACGACGACGACAACGACAACAACAACGACAACGACGATGACAACGACGACAACAACAACGACGATGACGACAACGACAATGACAACTACCAGCATCATCTTCATCGTCCTCATCTTCATCACCACAGTGAGCTGCAGTTTGTGTTTGAAGCTGTGAAGACGATGGTAACCTCACTGGTACAGAGTGTACCATTCTATACTGGTGTGTGTGTGTGTGTGTGTGTGTGTGTGTGTGTGTGTGTGCAGCGCTGCATCATATTGTAGCAGACAGACAGAGTGTGGGGCTGAATACTAAACAGAAGGAAGATGTTTCTCCTTCTCCTCTCCTGCTCCTTCGTACTGCTCCTCCTCCTCTTCCTCCTCCTCCTCCTCCCCCTCCCCCTCTTCCTCCTCCTCCCCCTCCCCCTCTTCCTCCTCCTCCTCCCCCCCCTCCTCCCCCCCCTCCTCCTCCTCCTCTTCTGTCCCACTTTTCCAGGGAATCCCTCTTTTCCAAACTTCAAAATGTCCTTTTCTGTCCTCAGTGTCCTCATACAGTCAGAGACGTGTCCTGGTAGAGTTGGACACACACACACACACACACACACACACACCTATAGTGTTCTCCTCTCAGCAGAGGGAGGACCGACTGTTTGACGGAACAGCGTTCAGTGGAGAGTCGGCCTCAGCTGCACCCAGAGTGTGTGTGTGTGTGTGTGTGTGTGTGTGTGTCAGCTGAGGGTTCAGACGAGGCTCCTCCACATTTACATTTAAACTAGCACTGTATGCTAACATGCTAACACTGAGCTTCACTGCATCTGAACTGAGGGGGGGGGGGTGGTGGAGGTGCAGGAGGAGGAGGAGGAGGAGGTGTACAGAGTCTTCATCCCTGCTCCTCTCAGTGTCACCGTGCTGTGGAGGTGGAGCAGGGCTGTGATTGGTTCACCTCAGGCTCCTCTTTATTTACTGTTAAATCGGACAATGAATCAAACTACACACAAACATGAGCAGAGAGCATTCTGGGAAATTACATCATCTCACCAACACCCCCCCTGGTGGACTATTCAGGGTCAGCGTAGTGACCAGTGAAGTACTGTCTGCCACAGGGACTGGTACTGTTCACAGACCAGATGGAACCTGCTGCTGAACTCTGACCCTAACTCTGACCCTAACTCTAACTCTGACCCTAACTCTAACTCTGACCCTAACTCTAACTCTGACCCTAACTCT